GCTCTCCAGGGGCGTAGGCTGGAGTTCATATCTAGCTTTTTTAAAGCTGGTAGTATTGGTAATGATGATTTAATAGAAAGATCCATTGTTTAACTGTAAACTTGACAAGAGGCGCCTGCCCCCTGACCGTTGTTTTGGTATAATGAGTTCGAAGCGGGGTAACCAAACCTTGTTAGACTTGGACTTTTAAAAGCTGTCTTGTTTGAAGACAAAATTATGATTTTCAGTGAAGCAAGAATCAGTTGAGACATGGGATGTTGTAACCCGACAAGGTGGAAATTTCGGTCAAGACATCACAAAGTACTTTGGTACCTAGAAACCTCACCGCCTGTCCACAGCTGGAGGTCCTGCACAGACCAACTGGCAGTAAAGCGATTAGCAGTGCCAAGATTTCACTGCTTGTTCCGCACCTACCGTGTAAAATTCACTGGCGGCCAAAAATTCAAAGTCAACTCAGGATCCGCCAGATCAGAAACCCGCCCAATCAAGAGACATGGTCATGCACGATCCGCCCACCAGCCAACCCACTCAACCCACTCATCAACCTCGATAGTCTGTCTGTCTGGGGACTTTGAACTTTTTTCTAGTCCCTCCGTCTTATCTTCAGATTATCTTTGCCTGGCTGCGACCGAGTTCGAGTCCGATATCCATTCAGACCAAGGCCTATTCATACTCATACTCAGTCTTCGCTTTTCCCTGTCTCGACTTTCCCTTCCGATCAGAAAGATTACCCTTACCCGACCGAGCGCTGTGTGCTGTGTTGGATTCGCAATGGAGGATACGTCGCTCAAGGTTCGTTACAAGCCTTCCACCTCCCGCCTCACTTCACCGCTGGTCTGGGTGTGTCTGTCTATACAACAGAACACACCAAGCTGCGCACACCATGGCTAGGTGTTTTAGAGTGTGGTGGCGGTAGTGGTTGCGCATGTAGAGATAACGATATTGACCAAGTCTACCCAAAAAAACAGGAGCGTCTCCTCAGCTCGCAGAAGTCCTTCGATGGCTTGCTGTCCCTGATCCCTGCCAAGATGTATTATGGCGAAGATGCCTCAGTACGTATCAGTGGGCCTAGATGTCACTCCATGTCCTCCATAACCAGACATCCACTGGTGGGAGATATATATAACATCAAGTGGCTTACCCATCGCTACAGGATCAGTGGCAACGGAAAAAGCAGACCAAAGCACAAGCCGCCGAAGCGAGACGGAATAAGCTCGATCCTGATAGCGCACTCAACCGAAGCGCCAAAGAGGTCATGGAAGAGCAGGCACGGAAAAAGCGGAAGAGGGAAGAGGGCGAAGAGGACTGGTCCGAAGTCGAGGGTATCCAGCCCGAGACGCCCCGCCAGGGTATGAAGAAGAAGGCCGCCAAGGAAGCGAAGAAGAAGCAGAAGCAGGAAGCCGAGGAGGCCGAACTGAACGAGAAAGAGAGGAAAAAGGAGGAGAAGAAGGCGGCGCGCAAAGAGCGCAAGGCGGAACGGAGAGCTCTACGGGAAGAGGAGGAGGAGTTCCAGCGGAGGTCCGTAAAGGGTGTCAACAAGATAAAACTTGGCAAGCGAGAACCGAGAACAGAGTCACTACCGAATGGCGATACGGCGGAGGAGCAGGACGGCGCAGATGGCACTCAAGAAGCCGAGGGAAGCACGCAAGAACAGGCAGAGGGTTCACAAGACGCCGAAGAGGCTGAGAGTGGGAGTCACGAGCCAGAAGCTACGGGATCCCCTGCCGAAACACCGCAGTCTCCTGTCTTCGACACGAATGGCACACCCGCAGACTCTGCTGGCCAAGCTCCGAGCATAACGACGTCCGTATCTTCTGCCGACCCGGCAACGGAAAAGCCGAAGCACATAAAGATACCCTCCGATAGCACCGCTCTACGTGCACGTCTAGCTGCCAAGATCCAAGCCCTACGAGACGCCCGGAAAGCAGATAGAGACGGCAAGCCCATTCGGACCCGCGAAGAGCTCTTGGAGTCTCGTCGCCAGAAGCAAGCGGAGCGCAAGGCCCACAAGAGGGAGTTAAGAATGAAGGCTAAGCTGGAGGAAGAGCGGAAACGCGAGGAAGCGCTCGCATCAGCGCGCGAGTCTCCCCTGGGCATGCTCAGCCCCAACATCGACCTCGACGAACAAAACAACTTTACCTTTGGCCGCGTCGCATTTGAAGACGGCACGCAGCTATCCCACGACCTGACGCACGTGCTCAACAAGGGCGCCAAGAAGGGCCCATCAGATCCAAAGACGGCACTCCAGAAGGTCGAGAACCAAAAGAAACGGTTAGAGGCGATGGACGAGGAGAAGCGCAAGGATGTGGAGGAGAAGGAGGCATGGCTCACAGCCAGAAGACGTGCCGAGGGAGAGAAGATCAAGGACGACGAAAAGCTGCTGAAGAAGGCTTTGAAACGAAAGGAAGTTCTCAAGAAGAAGAGTACGAAAGAGTGGAAAGCCAGGAAAGACGGCGTGGAGAAGAGCATCAAGGAAAGGCAAAAGAAGAGGGAGGAGAACATCAGGAAGCGGCGAGACGAGAAGCTGCTAGGCAAAGCCGGCAAGAAGAAGGGGGGCGCTGGTAAGAAGCCGAGCAAAGGTCGAGCCGGCTTCGAGGGTTCCTTTATAGGGAAGAAGAAATGAAAAGGAGGGCGAGGATGAGGACGATGATACCACGAGGAACACATCTCGATCGATGCTTTGGTAAACCAGGCCAGCTGTGTACATATGCTGCTCAATAGCAAAAGAATGATTTTTCGACTTGGCTGGCTGTTGTCTGATTTGGTGGTATGTACTGTACATATTTTGCTTCATACAGAATGGTTCACCATTATCACAGTCCGTCTATAACTCGCCAGGCATGGAATCTCACACATTAACCGCGGCGGACATACAGGTGGCCCTCATACAGCAGTACAGGGTGCCATTTCATCACTACTGCCAAGCACTCACCGGCAGTATCACGCAATATCTCCATCGTAGCATATCATTACTTTTTGGAGCGGCACCGTGGGGGACTCTAGATCTCTGCAGTATTAACCGCTTGACAAATATTCTTGGACTCCCACATGCCAGTGTCCGACCCCGAGAAATGCACAAACAAATCAACACACCTCTCCTCCTCCACCATCACCTGCCTGGACAGGAAACCGAGGGGTGGCAATGTCGCCCTATCATATCCCGCAATCGACGTCCAAGGCCGATGATGCTATTTGACGGTATCGGGGATGAATTGGAGTCGTCTTGACGACTTTTTGCCACGGTTTTGCCACGGTTTTGCCCCGGTTACGGTGGTATATAAAAACAGACGCGGATGTCCGATGTTGGAGTTGGCTGTTTATACTATTTTTCCTATCCCTACAGAATAAGCAGTGGGCATTATTTGCTGTGCTCTCTCTCTCCTATTTAACAAAAAAGCAAAGAATCTCTCAACCCGATACGGTATCACAGGAGACAACCATGCGCATTCCAAACCCCACCTACCTCTTCTCCCCTCTCCTCCTTCTCCTCCCATCGTCTACAATGGCCGCGCCAGTAGTAGAAGCGACACCGGTCGTCGGTCCCGCGAAAGGGTCCCTCGTCATCGTGGGCGGGGGCAGCCTCAGCGACAGCATCTACCTCGAAGTGATCAAGCGGTCCGGTGGTACTAACGGATCCGTCGTGGTGATCCCGACGGCCGACGGGGCCGCGACCTACGACCCGGACGCGGCGGGGGCGTCGACGTTCCGGCGGCTCGGCGCTCAGAACGTGACCGTGCTGCACACGTACGACCCGCTGATCGCGGATACCGAGGCGTTTGTCGCGCCGCTGCTCTCCGCGTCGGCGGTCTGGTTCGGCGGCGGCAGACAGTGGCGGCTCGTGGACGCGTACGGCGGCACGAGAACGGAGGAAGCCTTCCGATCCGTCCTGGACAGGGGGGGAGTGATAGGGGGAAGCTCGGCAGGCGCGAGTATCCAGGGTTCGTTCCTCGCGCGCGGCGACACGAGATCCAATCAGGTGCTTGTCGGGGACCACACGGTCGGGTTCGGGTACCTGCGCAATGTGGCCATCGATCAACATGTGCTTGTGCGCGGACGCATCTTCGACATGTTCGATATCCTGAAAATAAGGCCCGAGTTACTGGGCCTCGGGTGCGATGAGAATACCGCACTCACAGTGGACGGCGACGAGGCGAGGGTGCTGGGCGCGAGTTATTGTGCCATCTATGATGGGACCTTCTGGGCCAGGGAGGGGAGCGAGGAGAAGAATGTGCCGCCGAAGGATAGGGTGTTTTATTTCTTGAGGCAGGGCGATAGGTATGACCTTGCTGCGAGGAAGGTTATTGAGTAAGTAAGTAAGTAGGGAGGGAAGGGAAGGGAAAGGGGGTGGAGGCTGTTGTTGAAGGTACCGTTTACGGCATGCTTCTGTTATAGGAGTGAGCTTATTAGGTATAGCATTTCTCCTTGATGAAGCTCTTGTATAGAAGATCCAGGACAATATCAGAGGACGACTAGTTAGTTGGTGAAGTTGAACCTTGTGGTTTTGAGCCTGCCTCGCAAATTCACAGGCCAGTAAAACGCCTACAGACTAGACTACACCTATGTACCTTTCTTCCCAAAATGTGGGTGGCGACGCAAGAATATGACTGCTTCTGTCATTTATCAAGGACTATACAGATAGATATATTTGGTGAAAGTACTCCTTTGCAGTCCTATCCAACTCACTTTCTTGTCGGGATCAAGGTGTAAGTAAGTAAGTCTGTCAACATGGACCGTACGGAATTGTCATCCAAAACAGTGTGTCCAGCAGACAGAGGCTCAAGCTGCCTGTAACTTGTAACTTTGACTAGGTAACAGCCCGATGCCAACTCAGTACAAATAGGCTCTCTATTCTCTAGCAATCGCCTTCGGATTATATGCGCTTTGAGACAGAAACAAAAACCAAGTGGATTTGAGAGAGTCTAGAAACAATATGGGCCTCAGCGTGAAACTGCATTTAGCAATATAAGACTTTTTGGAGTCATTGCTCTCCAACCAAGATCGGGCGAATGGTCTAGAGGTATGATATTCGCTTTGCATTACTGGTCCACCAGTAGTAAAAACACATGCTTGCGAAGGGTCCGGGGTTCAATTCCCCGTTCGTCCAGAAATCTTTTCTCTTTTGTTTATTATTTCCGGTTTTGCAACCACTTTTATTTTTACTCTTTCTTTCCGTCTCTCTCTCGTTTTTGCTCTGTGCCTTGCCAATGATTGTATATCTTTTATTTATGTGTTGGTACCTAAAAGGTTTAAACTCTACCTACCTAGATACTTAACATCGATATTGTTCTTGTTCTTGTGTGTCTGTTATATGCTTACTCTTGCTTGCTCCTTTTAACCTTCTACTTGAGAGAGATGTGGTCAAGCGGCAGTAGTTGGAACTCTACTTACTTACTTACTATCGAGGAAACAAAGGTCTCGAGTCTTGACGCAGCGGTTTTGAGGCAAAGCTAGAGGTTTTTGTTGGTTCAACTCACAGCCTGTGGGCGAAGCAAGCGCCTCTACTCCAATTTTAACTGGGCAACTCCATTCCATTCGTGTGCTCTTAGCCGTGCGCTTTGAAATGAACTCAACACGCAGCCAACTTCTAGCCTTTTGGCAGACACCATTCAAGATGCCGCTCAGCGTTGGACAGTAGGTTAGTGTCCTCTTGAGCCGTTGGGGGAGAACACTAGAAGGCTTGCTTGCCTGCCATATGTACAATTCCTGACTTTAAAGCTCATGCAGATACCGGTCTTGTCAGTTGTATATGGCCTCACTCACAGGTTTGTTTCTAACAAGCTGCCCCGTCATAGTTTCGCTCGTCCAATTTTCCGAATATGCATGCAAGCAAGCGTTGTAAAGTCTGTAGTGGGTAGGTCACACACGCTCAATGGAAATTAAAAGCTCACAGTTCCTAGTTATCTAAAAGATTAGGTTGCCTGAAGTTGTAGGTTAACGTTTAAAGTAGACCTACGTAACGTTAACCGTTAACCCACAGGTAGAGTGTAACATGAACCAAGTGGTGGCAGTCTATCTCAGGTATGGACCTGTCCCACACACCTAATAGGGTATAGAGAGTGCCCACTTGAGTTCCCAATGAGTACTAGAGCGGGTTCTGCTCAGATCCAGCTCACGAGTAAAATTCACAATCATGGGAGTGTATCTACAAGTAATTACAGTCTATAGTCTCAGTATGCCTATAAGTAATATTGTAAAAAAAATGCCTTTTAAGTAAGTACCTACTTACCCTCACTACTGGTGACCACTACTGAGCCCACTTGTACCTGGGCTGGAGTTTCAGTCATGGCATGAGCTTTATTCCTAAGGTCACTAAATCCCACGCCAACCCAAAAGGGATGGTACTTGGTGACTTACAGGGGGTTTATACCTGATCTCGTGTGTAGTCCCTGAACCAAAGCTTAAAAAAGACCTTGGTAGAAAGAAAGTGAAAAGAAATTTGAGAAAAAGGAAATCAACCAGCACTGTGAGCTTAATATGATGGAGATTGGATTGCATCAGCCGTGAATCGAACACGGGGCCCATCGATGGCAACGATGGATTTTACCACTAAACCACTGATGCTGCTTGGATTGATCTAAGGGATCCAAAAGTGTATCCATAAAGGCTTTGAATGCAGGTCCAGAAGTGGCTCGTACGTTGAGCTACATCTTCTGGACTTTAGGACTTTCATTGAGTGGTCACAATTGGCCCGATTATGGCTGGTGTTCCCACAGTGGGACCTGAGCTGCCGG